CATTCCACAAACCATTGACTTATGGCTGTATGATAATGGAAGAAATCATTCTCCTTTTCTTTTCATATAAGACTGTTCAAGTTCAATGTTTCTCAACCTTTTTTCACTATCACTCCTCTACAGAACCTCTTCAGGTAGTGTTTCCTCTCCCCGCCCCCAGGAAATTTTAATGCTACACTCTACTATATCTGTTATGTACTATATGTATATGTGTGTGCGCTTTATTTATTTTTTTTATTGACTTCGGAGAGGAAGGGAGAGGGAGAGAGAGATAGAAACATCAATGATGAGAAAGAATCATTGATCGGCTGCCTCCTGCATGCCCCCTACTAGGGATCAAGCCCACAACCCCAACATGTGCCCTTAACCAGAACTGACTAAACCTGGGACCCTTTAGTGCATAGGCCAACGCTCTATCCACTGAGCCAAACCCCACTGAGCCCCGGCTAGAGCTGTATATATGTGCTTTATACATAAAATATTCTAAGTTTTTGCACCCTAGAAGTTTTCCATGGTTCTGGGGGGAACTTTCACCCCCTGGGAGGGGTCTAATTGCCTCCATTGGAATGCATGCTCTACCCCGCCTACCTGCAGAACTTCCTCTCCTCTCTTCTTCCTTTTGGCCATTACACTCACCTCCTTTCTGTTCTTCAAACAGGCCATGCTTACTCCTGCCTTGGGACCGCTGCACTGTTCTCAGCTGTTCCCTCTGCCCAGAACAATGTGCACCTTGATCATCTCAAGGCCGGCTCCTCAGAGCCTCATTCTCTATGTCATCTCAACAAGGGAGCCTTTCCTGGCCACTCAGTCTGAACTCCACATCACATCGCTCTGCTTGGATTCTCTGCATTGTACTTATCACCGCTGATCTGTCATAATACAGTCTTTATTGTCTGGTAGCCCGAAATGGAAATGAAAATCCCCAAAGATCAGGACCTCTGTCTGGCTTAGCACAATCATCTAGAATGGTTCTTGTGCCCTAGCTGATTTGGCTCAGTGGATAGAGCGTCGGCCTACCGGACTGAAGGGTCCCAGGTTTGGTTCCAGCCAAGGGCACATGCCTGGGTTGTAGGCTCGATCCCCAGTAGGGGGCGTGCAGGAGGCAACCGATCAATGATTCTCTCTCATCATTGATGTTTCTATCTCTCTATACCTCTCCCTTCCTCTCTGAAATCAATAAAAATATTTTATGAAAAGAAAAAAAAATAATTGTGTAAAAAGAGATATAAAATAAGACTACCCTAGTGAGGCCAGAATATATAGTCATCTTCATAAGATTAATAAAGTTCCTTCCTATTCTAACATCCTTTGCATTTTTAATGTAATCTTAATTTTTGGTAATTTTGCTCTCGCCAGTTTGGCTCAGAGGATAGAGCATTGGCCTGTGGACCAAAGGATCCTGGGTTCAATTCCAGTCAAGGGCATGTACTTTGGTTGCAGGCTCCTCTGTGGCCTGGGCCCTGGTCAGGGCTCCTGCAGGAGGCAACCAATCAATGCATTTTTTCTCATGTTAATGTTTTCCTCTGTCTTTCCCTCTCTCTTCCACTCTCACTAAAAATAAATGGAAAAATATCCTCTGGTGAGAATTAACACAAGTAAACAAACAAACAAATATATATTCTTTTGCCCTGAATAAAAATATTTTTGCCGAAAGCTATTATTTTCTTGTACTATAATCCAACTACAGTGCTTACTGAATGGGAGCAAACTTTCCTAGAGTCCAGAATAAAATGGATATGGATAGAAAAATAATTTTTCTCTCACTACATATAACTAAAAAGAGATATAAAGCAAATGTAGAAGAGGGAAGTTTTCACATGGGGAGATGATACCAGACCACTGTTTGTAAAATCTTCTACAGCACCTTCTTCCTGAGCTGAAATCAGAATATACTTTGGCTGTTTGGTTAATGATCTTTAGTCAAATTCCCAAAAGAGAGATGCTGTCATTTTCCCTTTTGTCCTCCTAAATAGTGCAGTGATGATACATATTTCATAGTCTCTGTGCATTTTTAAAAGGCCCAAAGTGATATTCTGAGGTGAATATTACTTATCTTCTTTATGAAACCTTTGCTAAACCTGGTACTTTGGGCCATGTCTGACTGGGTGATTATTTTACCTTGGAGGACCGCACCAAAATGCAGCTCTTTTCCTGATCTATAATATATTCCCAGATCTTAGTACCGTGGCCAGATTTGGCTACGTACACCCCCACATTGCATTTGCCTTGTCCCA